TAATTTATAAATTATTTTTCTGGTATAAATTTGCTGTTTTACATGATTGTTGAATGAAATTAACATAATTATTAATTTATTGTAAAAACATGACAGATAATCTGTGAAACAGATCCAGTTCAGCTGCTGTTTATCTATTAGTTTCTATGGAGGCTGTGAGCTGTTGTCCTGTTTGGTCTGTTTCTGCTCCTCCATGACGTCACAGACACCAGTGTACAGGAGGGGCGGGGCTCAGTCTTGTGATATTTAAATGTATGGAAAAATCTTAGAATTCTGCCCTCTAGTGGAGAACTGGTGCATTTTCTTCAGCTTATTGAGAACTCATACATGTAATTTATATTTAGTAAATGTACACACACTTTGATAACCACTGTTTAAACATGTTAAATGTTTGTTTTTATTGTCTGCAGGTGACTCTCAGTAAGTTTTTCAACCCGTGCTACACTACAGCTCAGCTGAAGCCCACGTTGTTCAGCAAGGTGAGACAAACTACCTCCCACTCTGTGCTGTGAGGGGATGTTAGCACAGAAAGGATCGTTTCACACTTTAGTCTCTCCAAAGCTCTTGTGTTGTTCTGTTTTTAATTATTTTTATTTTTTGTAAGAAGACAACAGTTCACACATTAGCTGCTGAAATTAAAAAGAACTGAAAGAAAATCGCATTAACACTTTGTTAACCTGTTGCATAATAAAGTCCGCTCTAAGTACTGAACAGTTGTTTGGGTTTAACATGAAGAGATGAGTTTTAAATGAGTTCAGAATTTCAGCTTTTATTTCCTGGTGTTTATATTTAGATGTGTTAAACCACCATGTTTTTAAATTAGTACTAATAAAGGAGCAAATCATTTTAAAGTGAATGTTTAATATTTACAAGAAAAACTTACTTTATAGGTTTAAACCCAGAACAAAAAGTAGACTAGTCATGCAGAGCTGTTTAATGTTTGAACAATCAACCTTAAAGGCAACACCTGGTCAATAAGAAACACCTGTCAGTCACATGTTCCAATAGTTTTGCTCACTTGAAAAATGGGTGGGTTCAGACAAAGGCTGGTATGGTCTGAGTTGGTTAACACATGTTTAACATGTAAATACCAGGAAATAAAAGCTGACTTTCTGAACTCTTATCTCATCTTTTGACCTGAAACCCAAATGTCTTCAGTGAACAACGACAAGAGATTTTGTGAGTGTATGTATGTATATATATATATATACACTCACCGGCCACTTTATTAGGTACACCACGRTAGTAACGGGTTGGACCCCCTTTTGCCTTCAGAACTGCCTCAATTCTTCYTGGCATAGATTCAACAAGGTGCTGGAAGCATTCCTCAGAGATTTTGGTCCATATTGACATGATGACATCACACAGTTGCCACAGATTTGTCGGCTGCACATCCATGATGTGAATCTCCCGTTCCACCACATCCCAAAGATGCTCTATTGGATTGAGATCTGGTGACTGTGGAGGCCATTTGAGTACAGTGAACTCATTGTCATGTTCAAGAAACCAGTCTGAGATGATTCCAGCTTTATGACATGGTGCATTATCCTGCTGAAAGTAGCCATCAGATGTTGGGTACATTGTGGTCATAAAGGGATGGACATGGTCAGCAACAATACTCAGGTAGGCTGTGGCGTTGCAACGATGCTCAATTGGTACCAAGGGGCCCAAAGAGTGCCAAGAAAAGATTCCCCACACCATGACACCACCACCACCAGCCTGAACCGTTGATACAAGGCAGGATGGATCCATGCTTTCATGTTGTTGACGCCAAATTCTGACCCTACCATCCGAATGTCGCAGCAGAAATCGAGACTCATCAGACCAGGCAACGTTTTTCCAATCTTCTCTTGTCCAATTTCGATGAGCTTGTGCAAATTGTAGCCTCAGTTTCCTGTTCTTAGCTGAAAGGAGTGGCACCCHGTGTGGTCTTCTGCTGCTGAAGCCCATCTGCCTCAAAGTTCGACACGTTGTGTGTTCAGAGATGCTCTTCTGCCTTCCTCGGTTGTAACGGGTGGTTATTTGAGTCACTGTTGCCTTTCTATCAGCTCGAACCAGTCTGCCCATTCTCCTCTGACCTCTGGCATCAACAAGGCATTTCCGCCCACAGGACTGCCYCTCACTGGATGTTTTTTCTTTTTCGGACCATTCTCTGTAAACCCTAGAGATGGTTGTGCGTGAAAATCCCAGTAGATCAGCAGTTTCTGAAATACTCAGACCAGCCCTTCTGGCACCAACAACCATGCCACGTTCAAAGGCACTCAAATCACCTTTCTTCCCCATACTGATGCTCGGTTTGAACTGCAGGAGATTGTCTTGACCATGTCTACATGCCTAAATGCAKTGAGTTGCCGCCATGTGATTGGCTGATTAGAAATTAAGTGTTAACGAGCAGTTGGACAGGTGTACCTAATAAAGTGGCCGGTGAGTGTATATCATATGCTCTGGAATGAACTCCCTTTTGATCTGCACTCCATTGATAACATTGTCTCTTTCAAGTCACTCCTAAAAACTCACTTTCTCTCAAGCGTTTAGCTAACCATTTCACCATTACCACCAGCCTACCTCCACTGTGAATGCTTCGCTAATCTTTGTTTTCTTTACTGTTGAACTTACGCCATATTTTCTCTCCCGCATTCATTATGTTTTTGTGTATTATTGTATATTTTGACCTGCATTGACCTTGTGTTTGATTTACAATTTTAGAAATTAATTCCTGATTTCATGTTTCAGTTTTCGTTGCTTATGTGTAATTATGTTTTTCTGTTTCATTTTATTCTTTTCACCATTTTTATATTGTTAATGATTGTACAGCACCTTGTGAATATATTTCTGTGAAAGGCGCTTTATAAATAAAACTTTACTTAGATAGATAAATGTGTGGGTGGATCAGGGTGGGGGAGACATAGACGTTCATTACTTGAAAATGTTAGAAAATTCTGGCAGTTCGGAGGTCTTTGTCTAAAAACAACTGATAGAAATGTTTAAACATGTTTTTTTTCTTATTGATTCAGTGACGGGGGACGATGTTAACAAGTATTTTAGTAAATCCAGTTTACTTTACATGACATGTTCATGTTGTGTAGAAAAAGTAGTTTTTTATATTCTGCTTTTTTTTCAGTCACAAAGTTTTTTTTTTCCTGATCCTTCACACTAACTCTGCAAACATTATTGATCATATTTCCTGTTATTTTAAAGCTTTTTCAATTCTTCATCCATGTGTAACACAGCAAAATCTGTCCATCTAAACAAGCCTTACTGTCTTATATCAGACAAAAACATTTTGTTCTTGTTCTGAGACTGATTTACTGAACAAGAACAGAATGATTCAGACTTTTTGTTTGGTCATTAATGAATCTGAATCTGATTATTAACTTGTTAGTCATGAAGTTTTCTTTATTTCAACAAGTCTTGAAGTGTAATCTGTCTGACTGCACTGTCAGATTATTTCACTTCATTTGAGAAGATTCAGATTATAATCTAGTATTGTTTGATGTCAGGGTTTGGACACAGATTTAGTTCTTATCCAAACTGAGATTATTGGTGATTCAGTTTGGAAGTTCAAAGCTTGTTTTGTCACATCTTGTTCAAGTTTTTCAGGCCTGAATATTAAAATAAAGTGAAAAATATGACTTGTGGTGTCCCTGTAAAAACCCTGAGCCCCCTCCTGCCCCACAGTGCAGTTTTTACAGCCTTTAGGCAGAGCTGAAGCTGGCAGCTGCGTTAAATGAAAGAGCTAACTGTCAGTCTGAAGTCTTTTTGCAGCTCATCGTGTGATTGTTGTGTTGTCTGCAGGTGAACACAGCCATCCAGCTGAGCCTGGTAGCAGCTTCTCTGGCTGCTCCTGTCTTCCAGTTCACAGACAGTCTCCTGCTGCAGGGCTTATGGTAAACACACACACACACACACACACCACATCATAGATCTGTTGCTTTTTCATGGATAATTACAAACAGCTTCAGCTCTGTGGAGCACATAAACACAGTTTGTTGTGTCAGTTTGGGTCAAGTGTGTTGAATCGGGTTTCAGGTTCAGTCTGAACACTTTAACTAATCCTGTTGGACCATAAACCAAACCAGTGACTGCAGATGGGTTGAGCTGAGGCTGAAACCACATTTTTATACAAAGTACACGTATTTAGATGTGAGTAAGGTGTTTAAAAATGAGAGGATTGACTCCAACTGCTGCGTGGTGTGTTACTGCCACTAAAGCATGTGGACCAGGACAGCCAGATAAAACCAGAATTAGCTCCACTTGCTAATGGTTAGGTTAGGGTTATTGTGTTGTGTTGTGTTGTGTTCATCCTAAAATCTGGCTCAGGTGCAGTTCTTCTCACAGATTCATCTCATTTTTTAACTTGCACTCAGAGTAGAAATTTGAGCTTTACACTGAAATCACAATTAGTCCTAAAACTATTGACCTTTAAAACAGAGCTATTCAGCTAATGGCCTGCGGGCCATATCCGGCCTGTGAGTGACCAAAATCCAGCCCAACAATTGTTTCATTCAGCTCTAAAGCCCAAACCCCTGGTTTTCTATTTTAATTACTCTAAATTCTTTTAGTTAAACATAGAAATGTTTGGTATCTACAGAAGCATCAGAATCTTGGCTACAAGCTGGTAAAAAACCATTTCTTTGAACATTAGTGGTCCTCTACAGCAGTGTTTCCCAAAGTTGGGTCCCGAAACATCAAGGTGGGGTCCTGAAAAGATTTTCTGAATTAATTACATTTTTGCCTTAGTTGTTACAAAAGAGTGAGGTTAGTGTATTTAAAATGGATAAATGTAGTA